GTGTAAAGATTAAATAAATATGATTACGTATGTCCAGAGCGTAGCCCAGAGATCAGTGAGTGCTGAGATCTCTATAACAATTGCTGTAATTATTATTCCTCTATCTTGAAACTATCCAAGAGACAATGAAGCCCATTGCCCCAAGTGGCGGTAGGGGTGAGTTCAGTGAGACTGGATAACTTACGAATGAGGGAGTCAGGAAGGACCACAAACAGAAGCTGGGGTATGCCTAACTTTCCAGTCTGATGTCAGCAAAGGCACGTCTCTTTCTCCCCACAGTGAGTTTGTTGGGTCTGGCTCATTGTGTCACTTCCTGTTTTCTTCCGTGGCTTAGTGCTGCCTTCGGTGGCAAAACCCTGGCACGCTTCTCTTATATTTTTGCTCAATGGTGACTTTAAGGAGCCAGCCACTTGTGGCTTTTTTGGGACACTTGTCATGTGAACGCAACGACTGCCCATGATTGATGGAAGCAAAGTGGCTAAAAGCAGTCTCTTTGGCTGAAACGTTAGAGCCACACAGGCCATGTGAGTGCCAAATGGGGACCAGCAGCCTGGAAGGGGTAATTCAAAATGTAACCCCCTGGCAAGGCTGAGGCCCAAGGAGGGAGAGGCTAGACAGCTCCTCCAACAACGTGGTGAATGGGAAGGAGTTGGTACATTGTTTCTTTCTCTTAAAAACCTAACCCTCTGCATGCTGGACCTTCCATGTTGATTTTAAAAGAAACTAATAAGAAGTGAAGTGAAGCAGAAAGAAACAAAATATTATGGACTGCTCTCGGAAAGAGAAACAGACGCACTGTGTACTCACAGAAATGTGACTGTAAGGGTCAGGTTTGAAATACTGAGAGTAACTCTGGTGTTTGGCTTTAGGAAACCTGTCTCCCACCTTCTACAATTTCTCATCTTTTGATCATAATTGAAACCGAGTATCATGGTTCTCTTTAATATCCCACTGAAGAGTAAGTTAAACAGATCGTACCCTCTGGACAGTATCTGAGTCAGGATGGGTGATGTTATGCTGGGATAGCAAACTGTGCCAAAATCTCATTGGCTTAATACAACTATGGCTTATTTCTGGCTATTCAAAGTCTGCAGTCCTGGTGTCTTTCCTGGGCAGCTGCTCTCCATCTGTTGAGGCAACGTTCCAGGCTGTTTGAAATTTGTGGCTTCTCCATAT